AGAAAGAAAGAAAGAAAGAAAGAAAGAAAGAAAGAAAGAAAGAAAGAAAGAAAGAAAGAAAGAGGAAGAGAGGAAGGGAGGGAGGAAGGAATGAAGGAAGGAAAAGACATACAGCTCAATAGTAAAGTGCTTGTCCTGCATACGCCAGGTCCTAGATTTGATCACACACACACACACACACACACACACACACACACACGCACACACATCAGAGAATGGGGGGATTGAGAGAAGTCCTGTTTTCATGTCCGTGAAGTTTATTTCCTTACATTTGTGAAAGACACAATGAACTTTGTGCCTTTGTGCCCCTCAGGGGGTGAGCTCTTGCCCAGTGGAAACAGTTGTCTAGATCACAGTTGTTTTTTAAGGGAGATTGAATTTGAATTTGTTAAAGAAAAGAAGAAGGAAAGTCAATAGAGATGTACACACATCTCTATTTCATTATTCTTCCAATAAAAAAAATGTCAGCACGAGAAACGATGCTATGTGCTGTTCAGCAAGCCCTCAGGGGCTAGCAAGGAACTTGAACAAAACAACTAAGTTCTTCTAAGATTGGTGAATGGTGTGTGTTTAAACTAGCTTCTTTTATCTGACTGGTGTTGTATATAAGAATTTATGCTTTGTGTTTTCTTTGTTTGTTTTGCTTTTGTTTTTTTTAGACAGTATCTCAATTTTCCCGGTCTATTCTTCAACTAGCTCTCTTGCCACCTACCAAAGGCTGGGGTTACAGGTGTGTGCCACCACACCTAACAATTTGCAATTTCAGAGAAAGATTTTTTACCTGGAATGTTAAAAATTACTGTTAAAAGTATTACTCTTGAATTTTTAGCTACTGATCCCAAACCAGCCCTCATCTCAAGGGGAATAAAAGGTAATTTATTCTGCAGCTAGAGGAGCGCTGAGAGCTTGAGCACGTAGCTGCTGTTCCAGGGGCCTGGGCTTAGTTCCAAGCACCCACAGCTCAGGACCATGTGTCTCTAGTTATAGGGGACATGACACCGCTTCTGGCCTTTGATCTGGCATGCCAGCCTGTGAAAGGAACATCCATACATATAAGTAAAAATTTTAAAAATGTTTTTAGATGGTAGAATATTCTGGAGACAAATATAAGTGACTATGGCCCAGGAACAGAGTTCACACTTCTCAAAATAACTTCCATGTTCTACGTGGAAGTGGTCATATGAGATTTTATTAGTCAAAGAACAAAGGAAGTCATCACTTTTGTCAAATACTTTGGCAGAGACCACACATACATGGGTCACATAAGTCAAAAAAAAAAAAAATCTGTGTAGGTTTCAGATACTATCTGAACTCTGATGGCAGAGTTTGCTTTTGAGTTGGTGGAACTTAGGGTCTACTCACACATTCTCCTTGCTTTCGGGATCCTAAGGAGGTTCAGGTCAGATACAGATGACAAACAGTTCTATCCTAACATGCTCGGCTTTGGTCTGCAATATTTTAAGTAATATAACCACAAAGTTCAATTGCCTGACCCTGTAGGAATTTCTAACACAGGCACAGCTTTTCCTTAAGCTCAGAACTTGAGTTCATGTAACTTAGTAACTTCACAGACATGCTTGCACTGTTTTGACATCTTCTCCTTCCATTTTTAAAGGAAAACTCTACAGCCGGGGAGCAACAGACAACAAGGGCCCTGTGCTGGCCTGGGTTAATGCTGTGAGTGCCTTCCGAGCTCTGGGACAGGTGGGTGGCCCGCTGTGCTGAGAGGGAGGGCGGTGGCTGTGAACATGCTTTGAGCTGTGTGCCCAGTCCTCAGCACACTGCTCCACTTACCTTCCACACAGCAATCTTGAGTGCGTATTACCGTCACAGCCACTTTAAAGAGAAAAGCGAAGCTTGGGAAATTTGGGGAATGTACTCAGAGCACCCCAGCCAGACAGCAGTCATCCTAGAAGCTTGGACTCCAGCCTGCAGGACCAGCCACATCAAAACAAAACCAGAACACAGAGCTGCTGTGTTGGCTCCACAAAGAAAGGCACTCGCTGCCGAGCCTGTGTCCTTCTGAGCCCTAGACCTACAGGGTGGAAGGAGAGAACCAACTCCTTCAAGCTGTTCTTTCATTTCTACATGTGTGTTGTGGCATGTGCACAATCCCCCCCACATATCATACTACATACACCACACACACATACACACAGCACACGGAATACAGTGCTGGTTGGTGCTTCAGAGCCTACTAGGGCTTGAGTTTACATCTCTAGCACCCACTGTAAAATGCTGGGTGAGGAGCCATGTCTATAATTCCAGGACTAGGGTCCAGGAGACAGGCAGATCCTGGGAGCTTGCTAGCCAGCAGCCTTGGCAAACGGTTGTTCAGTGAGAGGCTCTTTCAAAAAATAAGATGGAGCACAATAGATCAAAAGAGTTAATGTTGGCCAGGCACCATGGTGCATGCCTGTAATCCTAGTACTCTGGGAAGCAGAGGCTGGTGGATTTCTGCAAGTTCGAGGCCAGCCTGGTCTACAGAGTGAATTCCAGGATAGCCAGGGCTACACAGAAAATCTCTGTCTCAGAAAAACAAAACAAAATAAGATTTGATGTTGACTTCTGATTTTCACATAAGTATGAATGCTTGAGTTACTCTACACACATCATACACACACACACACACACATACACACACCACATACAGCCTAAAACATGACAAAACCATGATGACCCTGAAGTGTCACGGACTAGGACATTCAGGAAGAAGTCCAACCTTGTCTCCTCCTTTCATTCCTCACTTCCTCGTTATCACAGGCACGGCTTCATGGACAGTGATACAGTGGCTAGACAAACCTCTGTGACCTGAGCCTCTGCCTGCATCTCCTAGGCACTCTCCCTAAGATGGGCTGTTGTCCACAGGTGCTCTTATAGGGTTACGGAAGCAAGGCTGGGGGAGCTCTGAGGAGGCAGTCCGCTCTTCCTGGCTACAGGAGCTCATTGTTGGCGGGTCCGGATGCATCTTTGCCTCTGGTTTGGCAAGGATGTTTTGTTTTTTTCTCTAGTCATTCCTCTCTTGTGTTTGGACTCCCAAAGAAGACTGACTCTGCTGTGTGGCTTCACACATCTAGACCTCAGATTTCATTTTATATAAATGGATACATTGATTCAGAAAGTTGAGCTTAAACACTGTGTTCTGCTACATAGTTCCATGTGGCCCAGAAACAGCCAGTCCAGATATCCTAGGCACTCTGGCAGTAATAGCCAGTGCACATCTCGGCAAGCCTAGCCCTTGATTCCACTCATCGAGGGTGGTGGCACCTGTCTGTGAGGAAGGTCCCTCTCCCTTTACAGCTGCAGACCTGTAGAGAAATTTTAATCCAGCAACATGGCTGCTCCAGCAAGGGATTACATCCAAAGGCCTATGTCTCTGTGATCCAGATGGAGTACAGACACTCCCTTAGTACACACCTTTAATCCCAAACAATGGCACTGAATTGAGGGGCAGACAAAGTGATGAATCATTAATGTGTCAGAGATAGCATATGCCCAACTCTCATGAGAATAGACAGAAAAGAGGCTACTTACAAGCAATGCGGGGAGAGAGGGAGAGTTCAGTTTGGCACAGTTCAGTTGAGTGCAGTGGAGTTCATTTGAGTTCGTGGGGTTCCATCCCATTTGTGCAGTTCCGTTCATGGAGTTCAGAGGCAGTTTTTCCAAGAAGAGCAATTCAGGGAGAAGCCAGTTCGAACCAGTCAGCCTGGAGAGGATTTTTGAGCCAGAACAGCTGAGTTGAACCAGCCAGCCAGATGTTAGAAAGTATAAGTTTATTCAGTAGTAAGACTCAGAGGCTGAAAACATTCTAGGCCTATATAAGACTGTAAAGGGGTGTTTTTGTTTGTGTTTGTTTTTTGTTTTGGTTTGTTTTGTTTTTTCCCATCCACTTTTCTTCCCTTTACCCATTTTCTCACCTCTTTCACTTCTGTTCAGTTCCATGAAATTGAGTTTCTTACCCTTTTTTCTTCTCTCTCCCCTTTCCTCTGCTTGCCTCCTTTTCCTTCCTTCCTTCTCATGTGTGATAACCAATATGTATCAGAAAATGACTGTATAATAGCCACAGTGTGCTTTGCTTTTTAAGTTTAGCTCTGAACATTATATAATCACAAGCAAATAAGAAATAGCCACTGCCTTTGAGCACATCTCTTAACCTCTCTGATCCTCTTTTTCCATATGAATGAGAATTTCCACCACACAGGGTTGTGGGGGAATTTATATAAAGAGATATTTTCAGCCAGATGTGGTAATACACACCTGGAATCTACGCTTGGGAGGCTGAATCAGGAGGCTGCAGACAGGAGTGGACCTGCAGGGAGAGACACTGTCTTAAGCAAATACAAAGAAACAAAACTGCAAAGATCCTGTGGTGGCCGCAGCCCTCCTTTCCTCTCCCTCCCTCGCTTCCTTCTCGTTCTCGGAGAATCAAAGAGAGGTCTCCCAGCATGAATCACCTCACTAAGAGGCAGGGCAACCTTTAACGCCTGTGTTCATCTTAGAAGTGACACTGCTCACGCTGGGCTGTGCCGGTCCTCTGAGGAGCAGAGGTGACTGCATACAGACTTTGGCTGCTGGTTCAACATTAAGTAACTGTAATTCGGTTTGCATCTTTTTTTCCAAGATGCATTTATTTATTATGTATATAATGTTCTGTCTGCATTTATGTCTGCAGGACAGAAGAGGGCACCAGATCTCAGTGTAGATGGTTATACGCTACCATGTGGTTGCTGGGAATTGAACTCTGGAAGAGCAGCCAATGTTCTTAACCTGAGCCACCTCTCCTCCAGCCCTTATTTTTTAATTGTTGAACATTTTTCATTTGTGTGTGTGTGTGTGTGTGTGTGTGTGTGTGTGTGTGTGTGTGTGTAGAGGAGCATGTACAGAGGGGGAGCACGTGCCAGGCATGTATATGAAGGTCAGGTGACAACTTGCAGGATGTTTCTCTCCTTCTGCTAAGTGTGTCTCAGCGCTTAACCTCTGGTCATCAGGCTTGAAGGCAAATGCCCTTACCCACTAAGCATGTTGCTAGCCCTGATTTACATCTTATGAAATATGATTTGCTGAGCATCTCTTTAGCTACATCTCTGTTGGGGGATACTTAATCACATTGTGAACCCTGAGACTGTGAACTGTAAAAACCAGTTTCTAGTTGTGGTGTGCTCATCCCTAGCACACACCGTTAATCCAAGAGCTTTCTGTAAACAGGCTTAAATACAGTTAACCATAGGTCAAGAGTCAGAGCAAGCAACCGGTTGACAGGAAGTGAGCATGGAGAAAAAAAAGAGAGAGTGAGAGAAAGTTCAGAGGACAGATAGACAGATGCACAGGAAGTAGAAAGGAGGGCATTCAGTTTGAAGTATTTCTAAGCTGGCATGAAGAAGGAAAAGGGGCTTTTCCCCATGGGAAATGAGTGGAATAGGAAGCACTTTTTCCTTCTGGGATGTGGGCTGAGTGGGGAAAGTGCTTTCTCTGCCTCTCTGAGCTGGTAGGCTTTCACCCAGCATCTGACTCCTGAGTCTTCACTGGTAAAATCAAACGATTGGGCTTTTCTTTCTTTATAGCAACCCATCTCAGCGATCATGTGCTCATCAATGTTAGTAAAGAATGTCTGACTGTGACGATTCGGAGCTTCAGCGCATCTTCCTAGGGTACACAAAACTGCAATTGGTACCAGGGAGCTAATTCTACTCCCCATCGCCCTCATCCAAATAGGTGACCAACGGTCACTTCTTTCCAAGGTACAGGGCTCTTCCCATTCTATACTTGTCTCTCTGCTCCATGGCAGCCCAGACTTACTCCCTAGGCTGATTACTGTTATAGCACCATGTCCCTTCTCAGCACATAACTGTGAGAGTTCTCCAAATCCTTCTCTGTGCTCTCAAAGATACACAAAGTATTCAGATAGAAAGGATCAAAACTTCAAAGGAGGCTTTCCATGCCCAGCATTCTGTAGCAAAAACCACAAGATCCATCCATTCTACAGCAAGATCAAAGCCTTCGAGGAACAAAGAAAGCAGGTCCTTCAGAACAGTTGAGAAATAACATTCTGGAAAGAAGACTTACCCTGAGGCCTAACAATCTTTCAAGGGAAAGGGTTTTCCTCTATCATGCTCAAAGTTATGCAACCAAAGAGCAATTTGTAATCGTAACGTTTATTCAAAAGCACTTTTCAGGTGGACTGGGGAGCTCACCCAGCTGGGAAAGTACTTGCCACGCAAGAATTGGGACTTGAGTTCAAATCAAAAAGACCCTATAAAAGGTACTCGTGCCTAGAGCCCCAGTGCTTGCAGAACAGGAAGACCCCTCACTCTCTGGCCAGCCAGTGTAGCCAAAATGGTGAGCTCTAGATTCAGTGAGAAACCTTGCCTCAAAAATTAAGCTGGAGAATAACTGAGGAACACACTAGACATAGCCCTCTGGCCTCCACATACATGTGCTCACATGTACACCTGTACACCTGTATACATACATATCTTACACACACACAGAGAGAGAGAGAGAGAGAGAGAGAGAGAGAGAGAGAGAAGGGAAGGATGCCTCTGTTCTGCCCCTTCCTGTCCCATCCTGCCACCTCAACTTTACTGAAGCACAGTCAAGCTTTGCAGTATGGATGTCTTTTTCCCTAGCATTAAATCAAAGGAAATCCATCTGCTGGACTTACCCTTGTTTCTCCTTGGCTGCTGTAAATAGAGCTGCTGGAAAGGTAAACAAACCATACATTGAGTATAGATGATTATTTAAAGTATCTGTATTTAATACAGCTTATAAATGAAACCTTGCTTGGGCATATTGTACAATCTCTTTGTTCTGTTATTAATGTAGGATCTTCCCGTGAACATCAAGTTCATCCTGGAAGGGATGGAAGAAGCTGGTTCTGTTGCCCTGGAGGAACTTGTCAAAAGAGAAAAGGACCGTTTCTTCTCCAGCGTGGACTACATTATGATTTCAGACAACCTATGGATCAGCCAGAAGAAGCCCGCACTCACTTATGGAACCCGTGGGAACTGCTACTTCATGGTGGAGGGAGGTACTGCTTGTGGAGGGAGACAGGGTCAGTGGGCAGGATGGAGGAATTACTGGGGACCTTGAAGAGGATGTCAGCAAGCTTTACTTGGGGTCAGAGTCTGGGCAGTCACAGAGCCGTGGTGCCTGGGGGTGTGGTTCACAAACTCCTGGAATCTTAGAGTGTGTATGCTTGAAGGTTGTTTTTAGAGTCCCGGAGGTCTCCTTTGGAACTGTGGGTATAGGGTGTGAAGGCAAGAGTAACACACTTGACTACCTGGACAGATGCTGGGCTGCATTCATTCCCTGTCATGTGCCTGCAGGCCTTATTGGCCGGGAACCACAGTGCTATGGTTGAGAGGCAATAGAAGGCTGATGGTATCAGAAGCATCAATCTGTTACACTCAACCTTGTGTAGATACTTTACCCTAAGCTTTAGTTTCCTGTCTCAAAACTTAGTGCAGTCCTCTTACGCCAGCTCAAGATTATTCTTTCTTTTCAATTGTTTTCAGTAACACAGGCAACCTATGAAAGTATATACAACTTATAACAAAAAGTCCTTCCTGTGACAATGCAGCCAGTACTGATGAGACCTGGTAGGCTAGGGTCAGATGGAAGGGGAGGCACACCTCCCCTATCGGTGGACTGGGGACAGGATGAGGGAGGAAATGAGGGAGGGAGGATGGGACTGGAAGGAGACAAGGGAGGGGGCTATAGCTGGGATACAAAGTGAATAAATTGTAATTTAAAAAAAGTCCTACCAGGGTAGATCATTAGTTAGCCACTTTAGTTTCCTTAAATAACAGGATGAAAATTTACTAGTGACATGATGGAAATATCCAAACCTAGGCCTTATGGGACTTAAATGTTATGAACCAGCCAGGCACAGTAGCACACACCTTTGATCCTAACTCCCAGAAGACAGATGCAGACAGATTGAGTTCAAGGCCAGCCTGGTCTAACTAGGGAGTTCCAAAACAGCTAGAGCTATACAGTAAGATCTTGTCTTGACAAACAAACAAATAAATGTTATGAACCAGATAGAAACATCTTTCATGTTTATACATTTTTGAACGTATAATATACATTCTTATCATTTGAAAAGCAGGGTGTTGGGGACACAGTTCATGGAGGAGCACTTAATTGTCTAGTGTGCATGGTACTGCAGGTCCCTTCCCAATGCTGCAAGAGAGAGGGCGAGAGGAGGGTGAGGCAAAGGAGGAGGGTGGAGAGAAGGGGAAAGGAAAGCAGAGGTGCTGATGTGCATCCCAGGGACATAGGGTGAGTAAATCGGCTCGAGCTTCCGGGGGTTCACCGGGAAGAGACACAGATGCTGAGAGAGATGATGTGGGGATGCTTGGAAAACCGGAAGCTAGAAGTTGGAGTACCCAGTGGGAGTCTCTGTCAACAAACTTGGCCGTGAGAAGGAGGGATGGGGTCGTGGCTGAAGAAGCACAGCGGGCCTGCCATGTGGAAGAGGTCCAAGGAGAGCAGACTGTGTCAGGCAGCTCGAAGGGTGTGGCGGCATCTGCCATGTCGACGGTGGCTGTGCTCTGTATCCAAGGCCAGAGAACTCCAGCAGGGTAGTTTGTCGTAGGCTGTGATGTATAAAGTAGTCAAAATGTGTCAAGATGGAGACAGCAGAATGGTGGAGGTGATAAGCCGGGGCAGGAGAGGAGGAACACGAAAACCAAGGACAAGAGGGTGGGGCAACTTGGAAGGGCCAAGGACCTGGGTGTCCAACTGTGGACCAAGAGTGGACAGTGACGTGGCAGGACAGTAGCTTAGGATTGCAGCTGCAACACTGTCAACGCCAGCACGTTGGTTGGTTCAGCTGCCTAACAGACTGCCCACGCTGAAGTGACCTATGTGAGACTTTTCTTCCACTAACAACTGTTGGGTAGGTGTGATAGAAGAGAAGGAATGAGAGACAATGCTTAAAGTTTAAGTGGTAACTGATAGGGTATCATGCTCAAGCTGGAAGTACTGCAGATGCTGAATTCAGTTCCAGGTCTTCAGAAACTGGAAGCATAGTCCTTTGGCTTACACTCTGGGCAACCGTGGTGTTAGGTTTGGGTTTAGACAAAGGTTCAGAGCTACAAGGATGACAATTGAAAGGTAGAAGGCAGTGAATGACACTAAGCCATTAGTGTAGAGGAGGTAGAAAGAAAAGGATTATGGGAAGAAAGCTAGGGAAGTGGCGCAGCTGTTGCGTGTACTTGCTGTGGAAGCATTAGGGTCTGAATTTTCCGTTAGCCATGGAAAGCTGGCATGAGCATGGGTGTCAATAACCCTAGCACTGGGGGATTGGCTCTGCCATAGGCAAACTGGTGAGCTTCGGGTTCAGGGAGAGATCTGACCTGAAGAGAATAAAGTGAGTATGAAAGAAAACACCTGACATTCTTCTCTGGCTTCCACATGTGTATATACAATGTTCACGCCTGTACACAGGTACATGCATACTCATCCACTACTCATACCCAACACACACACAGGAGAGAGAAAGGGAGGGGGGGAGAAAAAGAGGGAGACAGTTTAAAAGCGGCATTAAGGAATTGAGTACAATAGAAAAGAGAAAGAAATCACTGCAAGTGAAAAAAGAAAAGTCTCCCAGAAGTCGAAAGAGGAAACTTCTCCTGAGAGGTGACCTGAGACAAAGCCAAGAGAAGCCAGGTACATACACAGCAGTAATTCATCAAGTATGGTCTGTCTGGTCATCTTGGATAGAACTGTGCAGTGGAGCAGGGGGAGAACGAAACAGTGTAAAACATGGAGGGGTGGAGTCTCCAGCTCACATGACTGGGAAACAGAAGACTTGAGGTCAGGTCTGGAGGTCATTTACCTGAGTCCTGAAGCACAGCTAGGCAGGCCTTCCCCCCTGTGGAAAGCTAGGGCAAAGGAAGCATGGTGGTGGGTAAGCCTCTTCTCTTTGATCTGCTCTATAGGTAAAGTGTAGAGATCAAGATTTCCACTCAGGCACCTTTGGTGGCGTACTCAATGGACCAATGGCTGACTTGGTTGCTCTTCTAGGTAATAACTCATCCCTGAGCATTGGTTGTTCTCCTTGGCTCTGAAAAGGTTTGTACTAAAAGAAAAACTGACGAAGCCCACGTGGTATGTCATTTCTCTTCGTGAAGTGATGCGCTGCTTTTAGTTCTCTTCTATTTATTGAAGTTACTTATTTTAACACGGTTTGTCTTGTACGCATGCATAGGTGTGCAGTGCGCAAGTGTGTGCCTGTGTGTGTGCATGCATGTGGAGGCCAGAGGTCCACCCTGGGTGTCATTCCTCCTTTCTCAGGTTGAGACATTGGAACCCAGAGCTGACCAATCAGGATAAGCTGACTGGGCTACAAGAGCCCCTCCTCTCTCCGCCTCTCCAGATCTGAGATTAGAACTGCATGCCACTGGGCCAAGATTTTTTTTTTCTTTGAGTAAGGGTCTTACCATTCAGCCTTGGCTAGTCTAAAGCTTGCTGTGTAGACCAGGATGACCTCAAACTCATAGAGAGTTGCCTGCCTGGTCCTCTTGAGTTTTTGAATTATAGATGTGTGCCATGACCCCTGGCACAGTGTCCGTATTTTATACATGGGTTTAAGCTAGCAAATGCAGGTCCTCATGCTTCTAAGGTGAGCACTTCACTGCCTGGTCCATCTCCTAGCCCCACAAACCTTCTTTTATTGGATATTGGGATATAGGTTGCCATACACAAAGTCAAGAATGTAGAGAGGTGAGGGAGTTAGAGCAGCCACCCCTGGCTGCCTCCAGTGCTTCTAGAGCATGGGGTAACACAGGAGGACTCTCTGACTGCAGATAAATGAGCAAGTGGCAACAAATCAGAACGGGGTTGAGTGATGTCAGGCACAAGGCCCTATCCCATCAGCCTCTGCGCCATAAGTGGAGCCTGATGATAACCCAGCCCTCAGTACACGAGCACCATGAGGTTCTCAGTAGGAGTGCCCAGCTGTGGTCGGAAAGCTGGATGGCATTGGACAAGTTACTTACATTGTTTGGTTTCTGGTTTCCTCAGTTGCAAACGGCAGCATTACATGTTTGCCTAGTAAGTTTTAAGGGTTAATCTTGCTGTGATGAAACACCATGAGCAAAAGCAACTTGGGGTGGGCGATTTGTTTGGTTTATGCTCCCACATCACTGTTCATCACCGAAGGAAGTCAGGACCGGAACTCAAACAGGAACCTGGAGGCAGGAGTTGATGCAGAGGCCAGGGAGGAGTGCTGCTGGCTTGCAGCTCATGGCTTGCTCAGCCGGCTTTCTTATGGCAGGGAGCACCAGCCCAGGGGTGGCCCCTCCCACCATGGACTGGGCCCTCCTACACCAATCACTAATTAAGAAGATGCCCCGGAGGCTTGCCTGTAGCCAGATCTTCAGAAGGCATTTTCTCAGCTGAGTATCCCTCCTCTCAAATGACGGGATGGTAGTTTGTGTCAAGTTAACATAAACTAGCCCACACACAACATTACTTTGAGAATACAGTAAGATGTGCTTAGAACGTCAGAGATGACTAATGGTCTGCCCTGGCCAGAGAAAACAGATCTTATCTCATGAAGGACTTTAGAGTTGATAGTGCCAATATCTGAGTGCTACTTGGCATCACTTTGCAAGTTTGGTGTGGCACACAGGTGCCAATGTGCTTGCTGACTGCAGTTCACTGAACCTCTGCTCCTGACCTCCTGAAGGTTGACTAGCCTGTGCAAACAGAGGTTTTCCCAATGCTGCTAGGTGGAGTCCCTGGAAAGCTGAAAAACTTAAACTTGAGGGGCCTCTCTTGCAGCAGCCTCTTCCAAAGTCCTCCTGTGGGGGTACTCACAAATGTGCAGTTGTTGTTGTTGTTGTTTTTATGTTCACAAGTTACACAATACCTCGGTTTGACACATCTGGCACTATGCTCTTTATGTAAACTGCACATTGTTTGGACAGATGAACTGTCCAAACCCTGCACGTTAAACCCCTCGGCCTTGGCAGTCCCAGGCAGTATAAATAGCCCGCCTGCCCTGATCAAAGTCCTCATCAGTGTCTTTAACACTTCCTCCATCATGACCCAAACTTAAAATTTAACAGTGAAATCATAATCAACATTTAATTACCTACCTATGTATCATCTATCTTCTATCTATCCATCATATCATATCTATCAATCCATCCATATATCATGTCTATCTACCTACCATCTTTCTATCTATCTCTCTATCTAATCTGCCTATCATTTATCTATTATGTATCTACCATCTATGTCCATCTCTATACCTCTCTCTGTTATTCAACTAGCTACATAACCTATTATTGATGTATTAATTTTTTCTTAAGTGTTATTATACACAGGCAGTATCTTGTGCTTGATAACTTCAGCAAGAACAAAATAAGATTTTTTTTAAAAGAATTCAGATAATTACAACCTTATATTTTGGAGCATGGATGGATGATTTTTTTATTTTTAGTTTTAGTTTTATTTTATGTTTTTGGTTTTTTTGAGACAGAGTTTCTTTTTATGGCCCTGACTGTCCTGGATTCACTCTGTAGTCCAGGCTGGCCTCAAACTCACAGATATATGCCTGCCTCTGCCTCTCTGAGTGCTGGGCTTACAGGCGTGTGCCACCGTGCCTAGCACCAAATTCTTTTTTTTTTTTTCCTCTCTTCATGATTAACCTTTTTACCAGACTTGTTTCTCCTTTCTTTTGTTGTCATTAAATATTTGTCTATTTTTCATACATAAATGAAGGTGTCCAGGCTGGCCTGAGATTCATGGCAACACTCCTGTCTTTGATCCTAGGTACTGGGAATAAATCATTATTCTAAGTTTCACATTGACTAATCCCAAGCGACAGCTTTCAGGTTTTCCCTCAGACACGATGACTCTGGCTGGATTGCCTTTAGCAAGGCATGGAGTTTCTCTTAACTTCACAGTCATGCACTGCTTTGTCAAGGAATCGTTCGTAAATGGACAAAAGCACATGCTACACTTGCATCTGCTTTTGGTATAACCCAAACCGTCCACAATAACACGCCTTCTGGGTGTGCACTCTTGTTTTCTGAGTGCTCTCTATAGAATCACAGGAACGCGGGGTTGGTCCAGTGTTAGTCAAACTAACAGGAATTCTGCTTGCTGGTGTACCGTGCGGTGCTGAGGTGGAGAACCTTCAGGAGTAGGCTAAATTCTGTGCTTTGGCTTAGGGTTACAGCATGAAAATCCAGAACCAGCCTGGCTTTGTGTAATTGTCTGTCCTTCATCATCCTCTGTCCTTCATCATGCCGGCACGATGCTGGTGACCACCAGCATAACTAACAGTAACAAATGTTTACTGAACACCAAGTGGCTAAAGCCTGTGATAACCTCCCCTGGGAGAATTGGATGAGTTCTCAGACAGGCTGGAAACCTCAGAGGTTGGGTAGGGAGGGAACAGAGAAGAATGGAATACTTGTGCCCACAGGTAAATCTCCAGTGGCTTCTGTTTTCCAGTTTTTCTACTCTGCAATTTTTAAAGATCATGAAGATGGTTAAAAGACTGTTGACCCAAGAGTAGTTTCTTTGGTTTGGTTTGGTTTGGTTTGGTTTTAGAAAGGGTCTCTTGTATCCTAGGCTGGCCTCAAACTCAATATGTAGCCAATGATGCCTTTGAACTCCTGACCCCCCACCAGAGATCTGGGATGACAGGCATGCTCTGCCATGCTGTGCCATGTAGTCCTGGAGACAAAGCCCAGAGCCTCAGAACCACCAGGCAAACACTATACCCACTGATGCCAGCCCCAGCCCTCTTCTAGTCTTTTGGGACAGAATTGAGTGTGGGATCTCAAAATCCTCTTTCTTCACCTTCCAAGTATTGAGACTACAGGGAAGTGTGAACACCAAGCCTGCTTGCAAAGGCATGATGGATACATGGTATCTAATATCATTTAGAACTCAGAATTCTAGGGCCCTCCTGGGGGCAAAGATGATGTCTCTAGTAGGTGATTCCAAGGCAGCTGCTTTCCCTCCATGCACTTTCCAAAATAACTATGTTCTCAGAAGCATCATGTCCACCGAGAAGGGAGGGCTGACCCCCTGACCCAGCAAACTTATCAGTGATGAAAAGCCATAGAGTCTCCCTGATGCGGAATTACTCCTGAATAGCAGACAGCAGACGTTAACATTCCCCAGTGTCTCAGGGTGGCTCTGTGGCTTTTCCTAACCAGATCTCACTGCGAGTGAACTACAGAGGAGGAGAAGATGCGGGTAACATTTTCCTCCATCAGCATGTCTGCTCACTGGCATTTCTCCCAGCCTGGTAGTGGAGAAGACGGCGGCGCAGAGCCGAGACTGCAATTTTAAAATGCGGTGTGTGCCAACAACTCTGGTTATGCTCCAATCCCAGCATGGTCCACTAAGGGCATCTAGGTTACCACCACCCTCACGGCAGGAACGCTGCTGTCATGGTTCCTTGGTATGGTCTGCTTTTGATGCCTACAGCACTCAGGCCTACTTGTCAAAAGCACCACCAACAAAAATCCTGCCAATGTGGTGCCCGCCTTGTGCACACAACCTCTCTGGGTCAGCGGCTCCACCCCGCCTCGTGTTCTCCTTGGCTTCCTGTGGCTTCGAATTCTGTGTGCTCATTCCTCCTCAGAGATCTTGACACTCCTTGACTCCATGGCTGGCTGGCTGGAATTGTGAACAGGGCCCATGTTTCACGTTTCCCCACTCAGTGTTTGCATTTGAGACTGTGAGTAAAAGCACAGGGTGCACACTCAAGGAAGACTTTATGAGCGTATTGTTAGTGATTTTTTTTTTTTGGTGAAAATATATTACAAATTGGTAACAGCCAGACCCAATCCTTTAGCATCTATCTATCTATCTATCTATCTATCTATCTATCTATCTATCTATCTACCTACCTATCATCTAGATATCTACTTACCTGTCTTGCATATATATATATATTGTGTGTGTGTGTGTGTGTGTGTGTGTGAACAAGTGTATGAATACTAGAGACTGACATCAGTTGTCTTCCTTGATTTTTTGACTTTACTTGCTGAGGCAGGGTTTCTTCTACCCAGAGCTCTTCAATCAGCTATTTTTACTAGTCATCTTACCTTGGAGATGCCCTGTGCGTGCTGTGAGAAGAAACAGCCTCCACAGACTCGTGGGTGTGAACGCTTGGCTCATAGGGGGTGGCACTATTAGGAGGCATGGCCTTATTGCAGTGGGTGTGGCCTTGTCAAAGGAAGTGTGTCACTGTGAAGGTGAGCTTCGATATGTTCAAGCTACACCCAGTGTGGCACACAGTCTCCTGCTGCTGCCTGTCCTCCTGCACCATGTCCGCCTGCCCGCTGCCATGCTTCAGGCCACAGTGATAATGGACTGACCCTCGGAGACTGTGAGCCAGCCCCCATTAAATGTTTTCTTTCATAAGAGTTGCTTTGGTCTTGGTGTCTCTTCAGAGCAATGGAAATCATAACAGAAACACCCTGTCTCCTGCTCCTGAGTGCTAAGATCACTCAGGGGTCACCGCTCCCATCTGGCTTCTCTGTGGGTGTGGGCACCTCGTGCTGAGTGGTAAGCATTGTATCCACCCAGCCATTTCTCCAGCACCCCAACACTCTTCATTTTTAGACTTCAATAGGATTCACGGGTTTGAAGTATTATCTACACACAGTGCTGTGCGCTGGCGAGTGAGGGGCTGTGTAACAGTGCACTGGAATCACCACAGTCTTCAAGACTGTCCTGTAGGATCACCAGAGAAGGATTGGAGGTCTTGGGGAAGCTCTGTGGACAGGGGAGGGCCAGAGGAGGAGCTGGTGAAACACAGAGCACTGAGGCCTATTTCTGCTGCCTTGACATGCTTGCACCCCAAGTTTGGCTTCCTATGATCTATTTCTGGAAAACTGCTGGTTACAATTTGTCTTTGGTATGTATTTTCTGTGTGTGTGTGTGTGTGTGTGTGTGTGTGTGTGTGTGTGTGTGTGTAGAGGAAAGCTGAGAAAATATTTTTGGAAGGTTCAGTTTCTTGTACATGTTTGTATGTATGCATCTATAAAATATATGTATATACATATATTTAACTATTTAATAATTTATACCTATTACTTCTTAGCTTGGGATGAGATAAAATGCAAGCATGAGGCTGGCTTGTCCGTGTCTCAGCTCTGTCCTTGGCTAGGTAGCCATCCGGGCAGTCTGACTCAGGATGAACTTTGGGACCACAACCCCTTGGGAGAAGGGAATTGTTGCCACTGGTTCTGTCCCGGGGGCAGTCAAGAGGGTTTTGTCACAGCCTCACCTGGCCTGGCTCTCAGAGTACAGCACAGCACACTTGTAACTTCTGCACCTCTTCCCTAGGTAGTCTGGTGGACTCATCAGGCCACATCCTGATTCCTGGAATCTATGACCAAATGGCTCCTATTACAGAGGAGGACAAAGCAAGGTATGAGAACATTGATCTGGACCTAGAAGAATACCAGAAGAGCAGCCAAGTTGAGAAATTTCTGTTTGATACCAAGGTATAACCAGACTGTACACATGACCCGAAGGAGGAACGAGGCTCCCAAATCGTGTTCTTCAAGCACCTAATCAACACCACACGGTGTTGGTCTGCGCATCTTAGAACACGTGCAAGGTTAAGTTGAAGGCAGATTTGACATCCGTTTTCCTCAGGTCTAGATCAGTCCATCCTGGGGAGTAGTTGGGACAGGCTTCAGGCGTCTAACCATGAATAATGACTCATTCAACAGTAGGTCTCTCAGAGGCATTTGTTAATTTAAATCCCATTCCACTGTCTGTCAAGGAGCTGAACTTTCTGAATGCTCAAAGATTAGAAGCCACCATCTGAGACAACAGCTCCAAAACCTGTAATCGATCACTTTCTCAGACGTTCCCAAGACCTTTCAGGGCTGATGGTCAAGCCAGAGCATTCCCTCCCCTGGGCTGTGAAGAAACTTAGAATCAGAGCAGAAATTCCTGAAGAATTTAAAGTTTCTCTTCCTATTCCTTCTCTTCCTCCTCCTCCTTTTCCTCTTCTTCCTCCTCCTCCACCTCCTCCTCTTCATCCTCCTCCACCTTCTTTAAGAATACTTTACCTGCTGCAGCCTGAAGAGCTGACTTCGTGGTTAATGCCATGTATTGTTCTTGCAGACAACCTGAGTTCAGTTTGCAGCACGAATTTGGGTGGCTCACAGCCACCTGTCCCTCCAGCTCTTGGGAATAGGACACCCTGTTCTCCCCCCTTTAGGCACTGTGCTACATCCATGTACACACAACTCAGCTGCCCCACAGTCGTACATACACATAAACTAAATAAACTAATAAAACTAAATCTTTACAAAAACAGTTTCTTGTGCAGGTGTTGGCATGTGGGTGATCCGCAGGCGCTGCCCAGCAAACCCATGCTGATTGTAAGTAGAGGGCTTCCTCTGGAAATGTAGTACTTGCAACAGGCTAAGTTTGTGCAAATACACTAGAAAGGAGTTGGCTTAAATACTGAAGGCTTAGGTAAGGAATTCTGAGAAATGAAATTTGCTACATTCATTATCAGTGGATAGCACTGATTAGAAATTTATGATTGGATCCAGTTCCTTTTTAAACTATTATCCATCGCTTATTATTATTATTATTATTATTATTATTATTATTATTTGTGTGTGTGTGTGTGTGTGTGTGTGTGTGTGTGTGTGTGTGTGTGAAACACATGTGGAGCCAGAGGACGACTTTCAGGAGTTGGTTCTCTATTTCCATCTCGCTGAGGCAGGGCCTTCTTTTTGACTTTGCTCTCTGTATACTCCAGGTTGGCTGGCCCATGAGCTCCTCCCTGCCTCTATTCCAACAGGAGGAGTGCTGGGATTACAGATGTGTGCCCCACATCTGTCTTACTTGTGCTCTGGGGACCAAAGTCAGGTTGTCAGGCTCTGTGGCAGGTGCTTGTATGCACAGTCATCTCATAGATCCTGGGTTCAATTTCTGAACCTGCTCCCCTGATAGGGAGAAGTTCCGGGTAGAGAAGCAGCATAGACAGCCCACAGGCAGCTGGAAGCAAAAGGCCTCATGTGCTGAAGGGAAACTTGGCCTGTATTATTATTCCAGATATAGTCACCTTAGTGCTAATTAACTTGTCATGAGCAGGTCTCAGGTACCTCGATGCTGGAGATACAAGCAAGTTAATTCAGCTGAAGTTTATTTCATTGTGAACAGGGCCCAGGGCTCATGTTTCCCCTCTCTGTTCTTGCATTTGTATCTGTGAGGAAAAGCACAGAGTGCACACTCAAGGAAGAGTTTAGGGCTTTGTCATGCTGAGCAAGTGCTCTACTACTGAGCTATAGTCCCAGTCCTTCCTTCCATCTGCCTGTCTATCTATCCATCCATCCATCCATCCATCCATCCATCCATCCATCCACCTATCCACCTATCTATCTATCTATCTATCTATCATCTATCTATCTATCTATCTATCTATCTATCTATCTATCTATCATCTACCTACCTACCTACCTTCCTACCTACCTACCTATCTACTTTGAGAGCAAATTCCACTATGTGTCCCTGGTTGACCTAAAACTCACTATGTAGACCAGGTTGGCCTTGAACAACCATAACTGGCTTGTTTTTAATCTGAGGTAGGATTTTATCTAACTGAGTCTGGTCTCATACTCACTAAGGAGCCAAGGATGGCCTTGAACTCCTGATTTTGTTGCCTCCACCTCCCAAATGCTTGGGATAGAGGAACCTTCCACCAGATTGTGTAGTGCTGGGTATGGATCCCAGGGCTTTGTGTGTGCTGGGCAAGTACTCTCCACACCCAAGCCCCAGCCCAGCCCTCAGCTGGATGTCAGTCACGTGTTCTTTGCGTGGTTTAAGAGGGGCTCCTGGCACACCTGTGGAGGTACCCGTCTCTCTCTATCCATGGCATCGGGGGTGCGTTTGATGAGCCTGGAGCTAAAACAGTCATCCCCAACCGAGTTATAGGAAAGTTTTCAATCCGCCTGGTCCCGCACATGAGTCTGTCTGTGGTGGAGACGCAGGTAAGAAATGTACCATTTCTCGGTCCCACACCCCCTGGAAAACTGAGCAGTTCTGTGTTATTACTGAAGTTCCTTTTTTTCCCAATACAGAGAATGGAGCAAATGTCAAGAAACCAGTTATCAGTCTCACTCAGCGCAAATCTCTTTCCTCAATTACACATGCAATTACAGAAGTCAGAGAAATAGCCATTTGCAGTTGCAATGATGGGAATATTTTTAAAAATTAGATGGTAGCTATAAAGGCAAGATTGGTTTTACACATAGATGGAGTGGGTAACTGACTACGCTTGGCTGGAGCCAGAAAATCTCAAGCCCAATCATTTGTTATCTCGTGATGCTTGAAATCGGTGTGTTAAAAGCAGCCATTGTTAGGGAAGTACTATCTGGAAGGCGTTATCCATCTGCGTTATCAGCCCATTATTAATTTACCTCAAATGGCTTTCACGGAAAGTGGACTCTTGAATAAGGGAGCTGAGGAGATACCTCACTGCCTTCCCCAGTCTCTCAGTTCTGTTTTCCCGTTTCCTGGTATTGTGTTCTAATTGTACTCTAAACATCTCCTTCCCTCTTCCAATCTGCCCTTCCCCCTTTCTCTTTCCTTCTTCTGGAGCTGCTTTGTCTTACACATTCCGTAAGGGCACGACACGCCTTGTCTCATTCGAAGGCCCATCCCCTGCACCTTGATGCTAATAAATATGAGCTGAATGAATGAATGGAGCCTCCCAGGAGGCCTTCCTCAGCATCCATTGTATAGGAGTAAAGCAGCTTGTTGAAATGCCTCCTTCACTGTTTAGCTTGGAATTGCTCCCATTTTTCAGAATTTTCCATGATGTATAAAGTCCCCCAAATATTCACTAGAGTGCAACTAGATCAAAAACAAAAAAACACACAAACAGAAAACTCCAAGGACATTGCCACTGAGGGACTGCATTTAAATTAGGTTCCCTAACTTTCAGCACACCACTATGGATCCTGGGCTGTGCGGGCACAAGGGTTGGGGGTAGTTAGCGCACACCTCCTCTCTGGATAAGCCTCAATCACTGTCACAGTGGGTGACTAAGGGCTCACCACGCGCCCACTCATGAGGTCGGCTCTCCACTGGTTTCTGGTGGAAGACCCAGCATTTTCTCACTGTTGACAGTGTCGCCTTCTAGGTGGAACAACACCTGGAAGCCATGTTCTCTGAAAGAAACAGTTCCAACAAGATGACCGTCTCCATGGTGCTAGGACTCCGCCCGTGGACGGCAAACATCAAAACATCAACGCCACTCAGTACCTTGCAGCACAAAGTGCCGTCAAAACAGGTGAGACTTGAGGACACTCTGATTCACATTTGCAATGGGGCCAAGACACTTTTAAAACTCAAGTATCAACTGTCCTCTTTATCCAAGTTGCATTAGTTGCAGTTTTCTAGAGGGAAGGAGCCAATGGCACGAGTATGTATTAAAAGGGAGTTCATTTGGCTGCCTTTCATGATAGTCTGGGCATTCTAACAATGCCTGCCTCACAGTGGAGAGGCCGAGGGCCCAGGAACTGCTTAGTCTGTGCGGCTGGTGCTGACCTGGGGCAGAACGCCTGGCACATTCCTGGAGAGCTGTGCCTTCAGTCCACATGGTAAGCCCAAAGGAGCTGGGTTCTGAGAGCAGTGAAAGAGAGCAGAAGCAATGTTGATGAACTTGCCAGGAGGAGGGAAGGCAAGCAAGCAAAACCAAAGCTTTCTCCTTATGTCTCCTTCATCAGAGCAGCCACCAGCAGGTGCCATCCACATTTAGGGTGGGTCATCTCACCGCAGATAACCCGATCAGAGCATCCTTCAAATGAGTGCCCCACGGCTTCCCTTTTAGTTGATTCCAGACCCAGTTGAGCTGACAACTAAGACTAACCATCATTCAGGGCACAGTACTGTGTAGACAGGCTGCTTCTTACCTGTGCTTCCTGTGGGCCTCACAAGTGCCATCACCAGATTACAGAGGAAATTGTTATGCAGTCCGAGACTCCTGGGAAAGACCATAAAGTTATTTGTATTAGCTGTTAGCAGGATGAACAATCTCTTAGCCTAATTTGAGATTGCCATGTAGGAGGGCTGCTGTTTTTAAAAAACAGAAATCTTATTTGTTTGATTTTATCCATGAAGACTCAAAAAGCCAGATGCTAGGGTGACAGCCTGCTGACTCAGAGAGGCAGAGAAAACACCCAGCTGTTCTTCCTCCTCAGCTGACATCTCAGGAGGAAAAAGCCCCTTCTCTCTCTCCACATGGAAGAGGAAGAACTCAATGTTCTTCCGTCCTGTGTTTCCTTATGTCACCTGGTTGCTTGCTCTACCTCTTGACTAATGGCTGGCTTTATTTAGCTCTTGTGTATAGAAAGTTCTTGAATTAAAAATGTGTTCTAGGGCTGAGCCACACCACAACACGAAACAGGTTTTTCCAGTTCACAATCTCAGGGTTCACACTGGGATAAAATATCATGCAACAGAGGGGTTTCTGTCTACATAAGTGCAACAACTAGAGGCCAGAAGATGGCCTCGGACCCCCTAGGATCAAAGTCATAGATGGTTGTGAGTCCTTGTGTGGACTGTGAACCAAGATCTTCTGGAAGAGCAGCAAGTCCTCCTACCCCACCGTGTCATCTCTCCAGCTTGGCCCAGACCTTCGTGAAGCACAAACTCTCTGCTGGGGTTGAGGTACTCAGACCTGAAAAAAATATTGAATAAATCCAAGATTTAGAGCCATCTCCTCTTTACCATCATTCCTAATGGTCCTATTATTAACAGATATTTTGCTAAGGAGAAGAGTCAGGACAGCAATTGAAGGCCACTGAGAAATGATGTGTCTGCAATAGCAAAGGTAAATACCGTGAAGAGTTATGAAATACTTCAGCTGGAATGCATAGGACACTTTTTGGTCTATGCTGAGTGACTACCACACAGGACACAGGATTGTGAGCACAGAATGAGAAGATCAACAGGTGAGCTGACCCATGACAGCAGAGAGCTCCACTGGAGCCTGCCTGCCCCCTGCCTGTGTGAGGCTGGCCAACCACACACCTAGTGGCTTAGAGACCTGATGCGTCTCTTCCCAGTTCCGTAGACTGGGAATACCGGGTTAAGCTCATCCCCGGCCGCTGGCAACTCTCGAGGAGGAGAGAGGAGTGATGAAGAGGAAGGGATGGTCCTGCTGGAGGCGAGCAAGGGGCTCGGGTGCTTCTTCCCCTATAAATTCACCAGCCCCAGGGGATTATGGGGCATCCCCCGACAGCACTTAAATTTAATCACCTCATTGGAAGGCCCTCCCTCCAATGTTGTCACACAGCTGGTTAGGGTTTCAACATACAGATTTGGAGGCTGTGACATTTGGTGCATAACAAAGGATATTTAGGAAAGCTTGATATGAACAGATTGACAGATTATATAAACCTCCAAACTAATGAGAAACAAAAATGTTTGAGTCTTTGTCATGTCAAAGGTAAGAAACTGAAGAAAGCCAGGTGGGGCATGGTTCTCCAGGGATCCTCTCACTAAGGAGGGGCCAGAGCAAAACAGAGAAAAGTTGGAGTTCCAGTTTAACTCCAAGATTAATTATCTGGGAATAAAGGTGTGTGTCACCACACCCAGCTCCAATTTATCAGATAAAAAAAAAAAAAAAGAAAACAGTGTATTTATTTATTTGTTTGTTTGTTTATATGAGTGCTCTATTTGCTTGTATGCCTGCAAGGGGACATCAGATCCCGTTATAGATGGTTGTGAGCCACCATGTGGTTGCTGGGAACTGAGCTTGGGATCTCTGAAGAAGCAGCCAGTGCTCTTTTGTTTTTCTTTCGCTTTTTCTTTTTCTTTCTATTTATTTATTTTGATTTTTTTTTGTTTGTTTGTTTGTTTTGAGACAGGGTTTCTCTGTAGCCTTGGCTGTTCTGGACTCACTTTGTAGACTAGGCTGGCCTCAAACTCATAGAGATCCGCCTGCCTCTGCCTCCCCCCCCCCCTAGTACTGGAATTACAGTGCTCTTAACTGCTGAGCCATCTCTCCAGACCCAGGATTTGTCATTTGAAAGCACATCTGGAGATCTTCTTAATAATAAAGTCATTTTTCTTTTGGGTTTACCAAATGGCTTGGTCCTAGGATCTCAGAAGCATGCTGAGTACTTCAGTTGGATTTATGACACTTACAATTTCTCTGTGGACATGGCTGGGTGCCTTTCCTTCTTCATGTGTGTGCAAATGTGTTTCCTTATTTTCATTTCTGTTAGGTGCAACTACATCCAGGGGTCCAAATTACTCGCTGCTTTTTTCTGGAGCTGTCAAAGCGGCACTCATGACAGCAAGTGCCTTCCAGTGTGCTCTGTCACAACTCCCCCATCAGGCCCTGGGTAAAGCTGGAGTGGAAATAGAAAACGTGGATCCAGTGACGTATTTGTTCCTTCCCATTTCACATGTCTTGGGACATCTGGACCAGAAATAAAACATTTGAAAGGTAGCGATGTTGGAAATGGTTTATTATTCCCTCTGTCCCTCACCTTCTTACAGTCACAGCCACCTGGACCTTCACTCCCGCGAATCCAGTGCCACAGAATTGCCCAGGCTGAGACTGGGTTGGTAACAGCCCTCTAACACAAGCCAGATGTCTCTCAGCCTGTCAGATTCTCACTTTCAATCCCAGTGGCTCAGACCTCCAGTTTGCCTTCCAGGCCCTGAAGAGCTGCGGTGCCCAGTCATTGCAGCCGAGGTCTCTGGACCTGAATCACCTTTGCCTCTGTTCGTTTAATAAGGCGAGTGCTGGCTTCCACCACCGGCTGCAGTTTCTCCGTGGACTCTTTCAGAAGCGTTACCAGCGCATGTCTCTGTATTAACTTGTCTTCCCTTCATTTATTCTCTCCAGTCTCTCCAACAGTCCGAAGTGAAGCGATCACTACTCAGACCCTCCCGCCGTCTGGAATCCTTGTGCAAAAAAGATGAGTTTTTCCTTACTTCCAAACTTCTTCAGATTTGTCGAGACTGATGCTGGCTGCTCAGCTCCTAGATTACCACTCTTCCTTCCCCACCAGTAAAGCCCCGCCCCTCCTCTTCCTTCCCCACCAGGAAAGCCCCGCCCCTACACACAGGAATATCCACCATTCTAGCAGCAGAATTCACCGTGATAGGATCTCACCCTACTGAAATTTTGCTCATTGACTGAGCCTACATTGCCGGAAGCTTTTGGTAGCACCAGTGTTAGAAGGTGAGCTAATGAACCCTGATATCAGCAAGACAGTCTCAAGGTAAGGCCTCAGCTAAATCTGCATCCATTAATCATTTTAGCTAACCAGCTTGTTTGGCTTGATTGGGCTCGATGGTGCAAACACTACAAAAAGTTAAACTTTTTTTAAAGTCAAGTGTATATAAATAAACCAATCTTTATAAGTTCATTATTTAAATGACATTAATAGGGAAGAATTTGAAGGCTTATTTTAAATGTTTCTCTTATTGGTTCCAAATAAAAACAACCCATAACATGTTTTCCTTCATCTTTCTGCCATCTGCTAGCTATTGAAATGTCACTTTTCAAATTTTCTGTATCACCTTAAAGATGGTGGCTGAGGAGATGACTCTGTGGGCAACACGCTTGCTTGCACAAGCATGAGGACCTGTTGATTTGCAACACCCACACCATAGCTAGGTGCATTGGCAAGCGTTTATAATCCCAGCACTTGGGACAGGGCAGTGGTCAGAGTCCAAGGGCTCACTGCCGGGCTGGTCTAGCCAGTCACTGAGACCAAAGAACAATGTATTCTCTTAGTCTCCTCTCTGCAGCTTCCATGAGACCAGCACTATCTCAGCTAATTACTCAACAAACAGGAGAGGAGAGATATGGGCGGGAGGCGGATGGAAAATTGGACCTAGAAAATACCAATCTTGCCATGCCCGAGTCCCAAGTTCATGTTTCTCTGCCAGCCATGGTCAGAGTGAGCCTCTTCCAGTTTTCTACCCCACCCTAAGCCACGTGGCTTCCATAGCCTGGCTGCAGCAGGGCTCAGGAAAAAGAGTGTTATTAACATTTATTATACATACATGTAAGATACCTTCCCGGCTCCTGGATAGGCCAACTAATCAGTCATAAGAAGGCAAAAAATTGGACTAAAATACTTGTTTTCAAAAATGTTATTAAGTGATCATTCAATATATCCTATCCTGGGGCATCTTGTAACATTCTGTCTTAGGGGTTTTGCTTCTGTGAAGAGGCAGCATAACCAAGGCAACTTTTGCAAAAGAAAGCATTTAACTGAGTTTGGCTCAAGTTCCAGAGCATTACCGCATTAACATCAGGGTGGGGAACCTGGTGGCATTCATGGCAGGCTTGGTGTTGAAGAAGAAGCTGAGATCCTGATCTGGAGAGAGAGAGAGAGAAAAACAGAGAGACGGGGCCTGTCATGGGCTTTTGAAACCTCAGAGCTCACCCTCAGGGAAACACTTCTCCAACAAGGCCACACCCCCTAATCCTTCCCAAACTGTTTTCAACTGGGGACCAAGCATGCGAATATGTGAGTCTCTGGGGTCACTCTCGTTCACACAGCACAGTGTCAGTCAGGTAACCCTTACTGCATTATAAGAGGGCAACCCACCACGCTGTAGTGTACTATGTGTCACTATGGGGAAGCTTAGGTTCCTGAGTACAGCTGAGCAGTATCGATGCACTGGAGGAAATGAAGGACTTGGAATGCTTGGGTTTCATACTGCTTTCATAAAAAATCGAATGTAATAGTCTGGAAACCTGTTGTGAGTGTCCACGGGACTGTTCAAGTGTCCTTGCCATGTCTCTACAGATGAGTTGGGTGAGGGGAGTGAGCCAGGGCACCCACAGCTTCTGCTCCAGCCCTCCTCTCCTTGCTCATACCAGGTATACCCAGCAAGTCCATGGTTTTTGTATTATCTGGGTGCTCAGGTGGTCTTCTCACCTGAGAGCCGGATCCCCCATCCTTTTTCCCGTTTCAGTCATCTACCAGTCACAGAAACTTCTGCTCCCCTGAGACTTTCCTCTCTGGAGTGCTGCAGCTTTGTAAATGGGCCATGGGCTAGGTAACGGCAAAGTCCTGGAGCTCCCTTCACAGCTGTCCTAGGAAAAGACCAGTCAAAAGCTGCATGTCCTGCTGCAGCTTTTTTTTTTTTTTTGACTTATAACAAAGGTCCCTTCCTGTTTTCTGCTTGCACAACATCATATTTTGTCATTTGGATCCAGCAGGAGACTCCGGAGTGGCCGTGTGATCTTAGAATAATCTTTGGCATCAAAAAAGGGTCTGCCCACCATCACCTCCACTTACTCTGCTGGCCTCATACCCTCCCTTCCTAGCTGTGTCTGGATAACCCTGTTCTTCTAATACTTCCAGTTCCTCAACAGCTAAGAGTGGTCTCATAGCCTTCTCTGTTTCTCCTTCTCCGGAGATATCCACACTCACTTCTTTCCTCATTATTTTTCAGATGACAGCTTAATGTGTGGGTACACGTGAGTGCTACTACATGAATAACTGGGGGGGGGGGTCAAGTCTTTCCGTCTATCATGTGGATTTGGATGATTGTCTTAGCTAGGGTTTCAGTGCTGTGAAGGGACACCATGACCAAGGCAACACTTATAATTAGTTCTTGGGGCTGGCTTACAGTTCAAAGGTTTAGTCCATTGTCATCATGGTGGGAGGCTGGCAGTGTGCAGGCAGACGCGGTGCTGGAGTTGCTCAGAGCTCTACAGCTGGATCTGTAGGCAGCAGGTAGGTTGAGCATGTCTTACCTCAACGCTGGTCTCCCTAGTGAGGCACTTCCTCCAAAAAGACATACTCCATATGACATACTCCATAAGACATACCACACATACTCCATCAAGGCCTCACCTCCTAATGGCACCACTCTCTCTGGGCCAAGCATTCACACAAATAAATCTACGAGGGACATACCTATTCAAACCAACACAGGGACCAAACTCAGCTCATCAGGATTGGCAGCAAGCACTTTTACCTGCCAAGCTATCATCAGTCCAGCTGTAATTGTGGGTTCATCTATGTGTGTGTGTGTGTGTGTGTGTGTGTGTGTGTGTGCGCGCGCGCGCGTATGTGTGTGTGCGGATACATGCGCACATCTGTGTGCATTCATGTAGAGGTCAGAGGGTGGTGTTGCTGGGTGTTTTGCTTAATTGTTCTCTACCTTATATTTTGAGACAGGGTGTCCTCCTGAACTTGGCGCCCAAAATTTAGATAGGTTGGCCAGCCAGCAAGTCTCAAAGAGCCTCCTGCCTCTGCCTTCCCTAAAGAAATGTTCATAGGCCCTACCTTCCTCTGGAGAGCCGCAGGGGTCTCCCATGGGTCATCCCAGCTACTCCGATTTAAGACAGCAGTAATCTTGTCCAACTCGAAAGAAACAAATCACCCAACAGAGGCCATTCTAACTCAGCAGCCACAGAGAAGCCAATGTAGACCAGACCCCTGAGACAGGAGCCTCACAAGGTGCTAAGCGCTTTCCAATGGAGTGGCAACATCTCAAAATTGGCAGATTTCACAACCAACCAACCAACCAACCAACCAACCAACCAACCAACCAACCAAGAAATCAAAGAGTTATGTTGCCGAGTCTTCCCATTGGGCAAGACTGCTGACCCACTCATCAGGGCCACACACTGGGCTGAGTCCATGTTCATGTAAACTCCACACACAGCACCTGACCCAGACTCAGAGGCCATCAGCTTTCCTAGAAGGGAAATAAGAATGACTCAAAAAGTGAAATCCATGTTGTGCTCTTTGATTTCTGACTTCCGTGAGCAGTTTCTCCTACAAGCAATGCCCGGAACAAACTCTGTTGTATGATAAAACCAAAGAATGCTTGGGTGCCATTTTAGCAATCAGGGCACTGCCCTACTTTAGATGTTTAGTGGTAAGTGAATTTTGTGTGAAATACATACTTTAAAGACTTTTTATTCACATGTGTGTGACTGTGTCTGTCTTGTATGTTCACAAACATGTATTCAGGTACCAGTAGAGGTCAGCAGAGAGCATCATATCCCCTGGAGCTGGAATTACAAAAGACTGAGTTGTCTGCAGATACTGGGAACTGAACTGTTCTTTGCAAGAGCAGCAAGTGCCCTTAACCACTGAACCAGCTCTCCACATCCAAATGTTAAAACATTTTAAATAGTATCTTTGAGTGTGTAATGGCTAATGAATTAAGGTACATTTACATCTTGACTATGTAAAAGAATCTAAAATGTTTGCCTCTATGTTGATATGCCAATGGTTAGATGTAGCATAACTTTTTTTTTTCATTTTATTTTGTATGTGCATTGGTGCTTTGCCTGCATGAATGTCTGTGTGAGGGTGTTGGGTCCCCCTGGAACTGGAGTTACAAACAATTGTGAGCTGCTGTGTGGTGCTGGGAATTGAACCCAGGTCCTTTGGAAGAGCAACCAGCACTCTGAGCCATCTCTCTGGCTCTGAGTTGTTGATTTTTAATGTCGCTGCCTCTCATAACATGAAAACTTAAACCATGGGGAAAAGGCTTCCACTTGCTTGTTCTGCCCTTTGATCAAGTCTGCAAATTCATGTTGAATATTGCAGATTCCCTAGCAAACAAGACAGACTACCTTCCTCTTTGCAGTGATGAAGAACGCCTCTTGAAGGTGAGACCCTGGGAGGCAGAGGCTGGGTTGACGTGTTTTGTACTCTGCTCAGCTCCAAAAGCCTTGCTAATGGGTCGAGCACAAGGACAG